CCCCCCCTGCCTCCCCCCGGGCCACCGGGCACACCCACCCCCCACTCGCGGCTCAGCAGGCTGATCTGGTCGGCCACCACACTCTCCTGCAGCTGGTACTCAGGCCCCCCGGCCGCCTCGCTGGCGCTGCCCTTCAGGGCTGCGATCTCCAGGACGTGCTGGACGAAGACCAGGGTGAAGCGCAGGCTGTGCAGGGTCTCCGTGTGCTCTTGCTGGGGGGAAGCAAGTGGCTGAGGGGCCGCAGTGCCGGGCACAGCCCTCCACACCCCCAGGCCCAGCCCTGCCTGAGACCCGAGGCCCAGAAACAACGCTCAGCCCCAGCCTCACCTCCATGAGAGTCTCCTCGGGGAGGTCAGGGGCCTCAAAGGTCACGGCCCCCTCCAGGTTGGCGGCGACGGGGTCGGCAAAGCTGCAGCAGTGGCCAGGGCCGGGGACCTCGAGGGCGGCCTCGCTGTAGGCTCCAGGAGCCAGGTGGCGGGCAGACGAGGAGCCGGCAGAGCTGAGGGAGCTGGAGGAACCCACTACGGGGAGACGGCACTGAGCGGAGCTCCCCCCGGACCGCCACTCCCCAGCTCAGGGCATGCTCCCGCCTCCCTGGGAAACCTCCCCAACTCAGTGACACAAGACCCATCCCCACCCCTTTGGGGGCCCAGCGGTGCCTTGGGGAGCAGACCTCGCAGGAGGCCTCACCCCCCGAGGCCCCGCCTGCTGCAGACGGGACCCTCCATCCAGAGCCTGGGGCTGCGGGGCCGGTGCTCACCCCGAGGCGGCCCCAGGCCCGGGACTCCTGACTCTACAAGTCTGACGTTCAGGGCGCCTGGACACAGAGTGCCACAGCCTGGCGGCCAGGACATTGTCCCTGCTCCACTCATGACAACAGCAGAGCCCTCACGCTTCCTGACAGACCAGCGCGGGCTGTGTACTCACTGCAGCCACGGGACGGCCCTCACCTGAGAACATGGTGGTGCGGGGGCCCTGCGGCGGCGTGCTCCCGCTGGGGGGCGAGCCCACGGTGAACACCACAGGGGAGGGGCTGCTGGCCCCCCCAGCGCGGGCTCCTGCGTGCAGGTTCCCTCCGAAGCCAGCAGAGGGCGCTGGGGGAGCGAGAAGAGGGGCTCAGGGAATCTTCCCACCGCGGCCCCCTCACTTCCCAGAGCACTCCCCACCGCCCCCCCGCCATGCACCGATCTCCATGGGCTTCTCCTGCAGGCTGTCCGTGCTGCCCGAGTCAGGGGCCTGCGTTCCAAACGCGGCCTTAAGGAGCAGATCGGTGAGGCGGCCGGTGCTGAGGGACCTGCAGGGTGTAGGGCAGTGAAGAGGTGCAGAGGCTGGACCTCTCCTCCCATAGCCAGTGTCAGGGAGGCCCCACCCACTCACCTGCCAAAGGGGCCCTTGGCGTCCTCTGTGGGCCGCAGGCCCGCGCCCAGCTGCTGCCCCTGGAAGGGCCCTGCCTCCGAGAGGTCGGGCAGCGTCCGGTTCCGAGGCGGAGTCATGACCACGCCCTGCCGGGCCAGGAGGGTCAGCAGGTTCTGGGAGCTGGGGGTCTTGGTGAAGTCGAAGGCAGGTGGGGCCTAGGAGGGGCAGTAGGGGGCTGAGAGCTACCCGCCAGCATGACACTGAAACCCCAACGGGGTCAGCAGTGCCGCCCCGTGTCTGCAAGGCCCTCCACTGCAAAGCCCCAACCGCCACAACCCTGATCTTCACAGCAAAGGCGGGAGACTGTGTGTGGCCGGCTCCACCCTGTGCTGGAGGAAAGCGACCCTCACATGTGCACAACACAGGGTACACATGTGTGCACCTGGGCCTCAGAGACATGAGGAGGTAGCTGCAGGGTCTGGCCCCATTTCACAGACAAGAAAGCTGAGGCACAGAACAAACTAAATAACCTGCCCACAGTGGCAGCCTGGGCTCTCTGGGGCTGTGGATGCTGGACCTGGGGCAGGACACTTCCTGTCAAAGGCCAGAGAGCAGAAGTTCCGGCTCTGCGGGCCAGCCATCATCATGGGAATGTGGCCACCCCACATGGAAACAGGGAGACTCAGGAGCCGGCCACCACCAGCGCTAGAGGTGTGGGCACTGAAAGCCTGGCGCCCTGGAGCATGCGGGGGTCTCCTCAGGACAGAGCCAAGCCCTGTGGTCTTCTCCCAGGACTGGCCACTCCTCACCCATCCCCCTGGAGGTCTGGGGCCCTCTTACCTTGGTGGGGGAGCCCAGAATAGGGGGCAGGGGGTTCCGCTGCAGGAAGTCGGGCAACTTGGGCGAACCACGCAGGGGCCGGCAGGACTGCAGCCCGTGGGAGGGCTGGGGGGGGCTGGCCTGGGGGTGGCCGAACGCCACCCCCAGCGGGTCCGTGGGGGGCTTGGGCAGCTTGGGGCGGACGGCGTGCAGGTCAGACAGGTTGGGGGCACTGTGCAGGCGGCAGCCCAGCCCGGCAGTGTGGGGAGAGCGCTCGGGTGCAGAGGAGCCTACGACCGGACAGGATGCGCCCAGTCACAGCTGTCCGTGAGCTGCCTGGCCCAGCCTGCGCCACCCACCAGGACAGGGTCTGGAGGCCCAGGTCTGCGAACAATGCCCTTCACCCTCAACGGCCACCTGTGAGGCACTGCGCCTGCGCTCCACTGTGAGCACGTGGAAAAAGGCAAAGGGATGCCAGCTCAAGGTCACACAGCATGGCAGGGCTGGGGCAGGGGTAGGGGTGGGATTTGAACCCCACCCAAGTCGGCCCCCATAACCTGAAGACTTGAGCTTGTTAAAAATAGTCTCATGAAATTTTCTCCCTTCCCGTAACTCCTAAGCAATGATGTTTGTGAGACAGAAAGACAGCCACTGTTTCAAGCAGCGGCAGGTCAGCCCGGGGAGGTCAGCCCAGCTCCACCACCCCTCCCCAGCTCCACCCTCCCACCCCCCAGGCGGGGGCTGTACCCACCTGGACGAGGGGACCTGCCCCCCCGCATCTCGGCAGCTTGTGGGGAGGGCGCCCCGCTCCAGCCCGGCCGCTCGGGGATAGTTCCGACTTGAGGGAAAGAGGGGTTGCCAAGGTCAATGTGGGATGGAGGGAGCTCGGAGATGCCCGCTCCCAACTCAGGCCGTGTCCCTCGGCAGGGCTCGGGCTCACCCTGGGGAGACGGTGTGTAGGGCCGGCCCCCACCCAGGGAGAGCTTCCTGGCCAAGGCAGCGCCATGCTCTGCATGAGACGGGGGCGACGGACTGGCCCGCACAAAGCCCAGGGGGCTGGTGCTGCCCGACCTGCGGATGGCGGAGGACCTGGGGACACAAGCAGACACAAAGTGAGAGGCCCCCCCAGCCACGCCCAGCGCGGGCCACGAGCACACGCCACGTGTCTGTCCCCTCTCCGTTCAAATGACGGGCCTCACCAGGAGCGACAACCAGGCGAAAGGCCCAAGGTCGCAGTCTCTGACCAGGAGACCCCCCCACCCACACGGGTCTCTATGAATCACACGAAAAAGGTGTTCTCTCTCCCATCTGTTGAAATTCGCAAAAACCGAAACTAGTTTTATCAACAGAAGACACCTGACTGGTAGCTACCAGGCAGCGGTCACGACTCATCTAGAAGCCCAGTCCCTGCACAAAGCGAGGGTGGCGCTGACAGGCACGCAGCCGCGCGCGTGAGCAGGCCCTGCTCCTCTCCAGGTGGGCGACCGTGGGGGTCTCACTAGCCCTCTAGGGGGCCCCACTCACCGCGCAGTCTGGTACTGGGTGGGTGACTGAAGGTTCTGCTCAATGCGCTGGTAGTTCTGCACCTGAGTGGGGACTGGGATGGGGACAGAGGCACCGCACCTGCTGCCAGAGAACGGGCCAGCCCGGCTGTGGTGGGTGGAGAAAGGCTGGGGTCACTGCAGATGTGGCATTCTGGGGCAGAGGCCACGCCAGGCCACCTGCACACGGCCAGCACCGCCGCGGGTAGGGCACCAGGGCCTGTCTGTTCACACCCCATTCACACTCTGCACCCAGGTGGCTTCTGGCTGGGACTGGCCAGTAGGAGGTGGGACAGAGGACAAGGCCAGACCAACACCTGCTGGCTCCAGTCCATGCCCTCCTGGCCCAGCAAACTCGGGGTGGTGCTGACACCAGTCTCTGGCACAGCTGCCCCTTGCCCCCCCCCCCGGCCTGTGTCCCTTCCACCACAATCCCCTCCATCCGCTGGACCACCCAGGAGGAGCTAGGCCTGAATGAAGGCGGGACCTCTGGACACACCCTGACTCAGGGCTAGGGGGCCACGACTCTGAGGGAAGCCCTAACGGTGGCCCTGGGGCAGCTTACAACCCCTGCCCAGTCCGGGCCCCTGCTTACCCTGAGGGGCTGAGGGAGCTGCTGCAGGGCGGGGAAGGAGAGGGGGTCCGGCCACGGCTCTCCAGGCCAGCCGAGGCTGCCAGCGAGCTCCTGGTGGACAGGCAGGGCCACACCTCAGGCCAAGCATGCGCACAGCCTTGGCCCTCCCCAAAGCATCTGACCCAGGCAGGGCAAAGGACAGCCTGCGAGAGCACGCGTCTCCCTCTCCCGGGGCAAGGAGGGATCGAGGTGGGGGCCTACCCGCTGCACATCAGGCTATCCGGCGGGGGCTTGGCGCCGGCTGCCTCGGCCACCAGGTCACCTGTGGATGGGAGACCGGTGAGGCCGGGCCCAGGGAGCGTGCCCACTGTGCCCTCCCAGGCCACACCTGTCCTGGCTGCGAACAGTGGGCGGAGGCTCCACGAGTGGCAGCTTCATGAGACAAGGCACCTCCTCCAGGGCAGGTCGGAGGCGCCGGGGTTGGGAGAAGGGCTATGCGGGGACCCCGGGCTCTCATGTCCCTAACTTGTCACTCGTACTGAGAGCTCCCTTTGCCTATAGGAACCTTAGGGCTCTCAGAGGTGTACCCTCCCCACCCGCCAGTGTCCAGCCAGGCATCCACAGCTCCCAGTATGGCCTGGGACCTCTAATCCAGGACCCCTGGGTCCCCATCTTCCCACTGCCAAGGCTGGGTACGGGGCCTCTCCTCCCAACATGGGGCCCACTTGAGGCCTACCCCCGCCCACTCCCACTGGCGGCCCCTGACCTGGAAGCTGGGCCGGGACCATGACGAAGTCGTCCGTGTCACAGGACGAGTCCTTGCTGCTGCCGCCTGAGTCCCGGGAGCCCTGCAGGAAGCCGGCGGCGTCAGCCGGGGAGGTCAGGGTCTTCTGAAGCTGCTGCTGCATGTCTCCCAGGGACTAGGGGGCAGAGGCGAGGCCACTGAGACCCGGCCCCAGCGCCTGGGTGAAGGGGGGCTGCTGGGGAAGGGGCTCTGCATGTTCTCCCCCAGGGCCTTGCCCTCTCCTGATTTCTGAAATGCCACACCTTGGCTAAGCCTGGGCCCCACAGGGACAGACGCCTGACGGAACCGCCCGTCACCCAGGGTGAGGGAGCACTGGGCTCCCAGAGCTCCGGGGAGGCCCTGTTTCAGGTGACCCCCCACTTTTCCATCCGGGGACGTGTGTGGAGGGAAAGGCTGCCTGTCGGCCAGCCCTGCACCACGCTCAGTACGCGGTGCGCCCGGAACGTCTGCCTTCAGACGTGAGCGAGAGCCGACCCCTCGACCACCTGCCCCGGCCCCGGCCTGCCAGGACAGATAGCGGTTCAAGCCCCGATCCCCCCACCCTGAGCACAACCTCAGCAGGCCTCACCCTACCCCTGTCAGCAGCAATAAAGGCGGGTGTCTGGGTGGGGCCGAAGCCCGGACACGATTCTTGCCGGGGTCTACATGTTCCAAACATGAAGGGAGAGAAGGCCACAGACCCCAGTGCGTGACTCACCGGCGGGGAGGCCAGGTGGGAGGTGGAGCTGCTGCTGGAGCTGCTGCCGGAGCCCGAGCTGGGGTAGGAGGGCACGGGCACCGGCGGGGCTGGTGGGGGCAGGGTGGCACGGTCAGGACCCGACGGTCTCCCCGGCCCTGCACACCCCCACTCCCAGTCACCTCCGGCTCGGGCCCCCAGACAGAGGAGCCCAGGGACAGGAGAGGAAGGGTGGCTCCCCCTCCCTCGCTGACCTGTGGGAGGCCCCGCCCCCAGCTCTCCAAACTTCACCAAGTCAGCTGAGCTCGGGCCCTCCCCATGGCCTTGGGGGCCCCAGGGGGACTCCGAGCTGGACTCTTGAGTCCAGCTTGGAGCTGGAGGTGGGCTCAGGAGCTGGTACGCCCCAACCTCCCAGGGTGGGGTTGGCAGACTGTGGCGAGGAAGGGGGGGCACAGGAGTCCCCAGGACCCTCAGGGGACTCACACTTCTTCACAGCGGCACTGGCATCAAGGAAAGGGTGATGGAAAAACTCATCTGCAGGAGGAAGGATGGGCCAGGCCTCAGGAAGGCTCCAACGCCAGGGTTTCCAGGGTGAAGGCTGGGCCCCCGCCGTCCCCTAGGGCCTGAGCTCCAGCTGGCTTTGGGCCCCGTCCCGCTGCCTCACGCCAGCCAAGCCCGGAGGGAGACAGAGCCTCAGCTGGCAGCTCTTGAACACATCTGGCCCCCACAGTGTGGCCGGGGCCTGGCCCCACCCAGCCTGCAGAAGGCTTCCCAGCAGCACCTCCCATTGCAAACCTGGGGGTTTTGCCATCAGCGCTGCTGGGAAGGGAGCCGCAGGCACCCGGGAGCCCGCTCACTGCGGCCCCCAGAGGCCCGTGGGAGCCGGGTGTGCAGGACACAGGGTGCAAGCCGGGAGGGCCCCTGCGGGGTGGGGGTGGGGGTGAGCTGCCACGCTCACCGAAGTCCATGCGGTCTTTGTGGTTGCGCTGAAGCAGAGCCAGGAGCAGCTGTCTCAGCGGGGCCGAGGTCTCCCGGGGGATGCTGCGGGCGCAGAGCACAATGGTGACTGGGCAGCCGGCGGAGGGGGGTGGGGGCTGAGGCCAGCAGCGGGGTCACTCACGTGGGGACCAGCGTCTTGTTCTTCTCGTAGAAGAGGCGGAGGTCCTGGGGGCTGCTAGCCTGAGTGGGGAAGAGGTGAGGTGTGAGTGTAGCCCCTGCATTTAGCCACTGCTCGTTCAGGGCCTCCATGCCCGACAGGGTCCGCTGGCAAGCACTGCTGGCCAGGACTCTAGGGCCCTGTCTAAACACTGAGTGCCCCCATGTGCTTCCTAGGAAGGGGCCACTCCCCCTCCCCCATCCCAGCTGTGGGACCACAGGGACTGCACAAGGGTGACCGGGTGGGCCTGAGGCAACAGCCAAGAGCGAGACGGGCCCCTGCCTTCCCTAGGTGGACATGCCAGTGGGGCCCAGCCCTTGCCCGCTCTCGCAGATGGGGAGGGGTGAAAGGAGTAAGGGGGACAGCCCAGGTCACCAGGCAGTCAGACAGGGCTCTGCAGCCAGCTGGCGACAGCGGACAGCTGCCAGGCGGGGCCATGAAGTCACTACAGGAAGCAGAGGTCTGCAGGATGGGGTCCACCGCAGAGCAGGCCACGGCCTTCCAAACACAGGGTGCACCCAGCGCTTGACGCTAATCTAGTAGGTCGTGCCAGCATTGGAGGTGGCAGGAGGAAGGCCATGAATTTGGTTCAGACACACAGGGACACACAGATGCACCCTGGAGCCAGCCAAGACCGGCCTTGGCTCTGAGCAGGACAGTACCATGGGGGCTGGGAGGCCCCATCACTTCAGTGACGGAGGCTGCAGGACCATAATGACCGGCAACTCTGCCGGGGACCCGGAGCCGAGCATGCCCATGCTGGCACACCCACCCACCCTGCCAGCCCACTCACCTGGAAGGGCGCCTTCCCTGTCAGGCACTGGTACACGATGGTGCCGATGCTCCACAGGTCCGCCTTCCCGTCGTAGTGCTGGGACATGATGACTTCGGGGGCCTGCGGGGTGCGGGTGCACGTCAGGGCCGTGGCGAGGATGGACACCAGGTGTGCGCTGACCAAAGCCCAGCGCCAGCCAAGTACCGGCCGATCACATGCCAGCCAGGTGTCCCCCGAGTGCCCTCACGTGCCACCCGAGCTGAGGCCACAGGATGGGGCTCAGCTCTGGACACAGGAGCGGACCCCACTGCCGACACCCCTTCCACAGGGCAGCAGGGGCCGGGGGTGGCCCACCTACCATGTACATGGGGGAGCCGCAGAGTGTGGCTGCCATCATGTTGCTCTGAAGGTACCGGGCGAAGCCGAAGTCAGCTGCAGGCGAGGAGAGGTGTGTGAGGAGGGCGGCTGCGGCCCCAGGCGCCCCGGGCCCTCCGGCCTCCCGGGTGCCGGCCCGCCCGCCTCACCAATCTTGACCCGGATGTTGTTGGGGTTGGCGCGGCGCCCGCCTGGGTTGGAGAGCAGGATGTTCTGTGGCTTCAGGTCCCGGTGGATGATGCCCTTGCTGTGCAGGAGCCGCATGGCGCCCGCGATCTGCTGCAAGAACAGCCGGATGGTGTCCTCGCTCAGCGTTCGCATGGCTGCAGGGAGACGGGCCTCGAGTTAGAACGAGGGGCCGTGAGCCTGGCGGGACAGGGATGGTACAGACCCTCCCTTCCGGAGGGGCCTTGGCCCTGTGCTGCTCCCAAGCCACTCCCCTGCGGTCCCCAGCCCGTCCCTCACAACGCAGGCACTCGCTCCCGTCCCCTGAGCCCATCCGTGGCCGGCTCTGCCTGGAATCTTCCTCCCCTGGCTCCGCTGGCCTCTGACCTGCCAGCTCCGAGTGGCGGTCCAGCACTCCCTGCCCCGTCTCTGTTCAGGACCACTTCTCAGTAGCCTCCTCTACCCACTGCTCAGGGGAAGCACCATGGCCAACGACTCTGCCACCAGCCCCAGGCCAGGCCCTCAGCAAGTGAGGGGCTGAAGCTACAGACAGCAGGACCCAGGGGAGGCCTGCCCCCCGCAGACCAGCCAACCAAGAGCTTCAGGGACCCTGCAGGGCCAAGGGGCCACTCCGAGGGCACTGCCTCCCAGAGACCGCCCAGGGATGTGCCCAAGAGTGGATCTCCCAGACCAAGTCTGCCCTGCGAGGCCGTCCCTGATGGTTCTGACACACCATGTGTCCCCACTGGGCCCAGGAAAGCGCATTCATGCCAGGCCACCACTCAGGCTGGGTCAGGGCAAGCCCAGGCGTGCAGCCCGTCCAGCCACAGGGCATCCACTCACTGTGCAGGTAGTCCGCCAGGTCCCCGCCGTTACAGTACTGTAAAAGACCAGCCACGTGCCTCGGTCAGCAGCCAGGGCAGACCCGCCAGCCCTGCCCAGGTCTCCCCGCCACCCCACCCTGGACGTCTGCTTCCTGGGCACCTGGGTACCCTGTCTCTACCCTGGGGCAGATGTCCCCTGCAGTTGATGCCTGAAGAGGTCAACGGGTGTGCTCATCACCCCCCAGCACCTGCTGTGGCCACCAGGGCTCCTGATGAGATGGCCCTAAGTCCACAGACATGTGGACAACATCTAACCCCCAGGTGACAAAGGGCCCAAGAGCCAGGAGGGCTCAATCTCCCTGTCCTCACAGCTGGCCTCCGGGGACTCACCTCCATGACCAGGTAGACGGAATTGGCCATTTCCTGCAGGACACAGAAGAGGCAGTGAGAGGTGGAGGGGAGTGCACCCCAACCTCTGCGCTGCCAGCCCTCTGGGAAGCCTGACCTGGCCACCTGCACCCATGGGGCCCTCAACGCACCACTGCGCTCCAGGGAGGAGAGGCCAGTGAGGGTGGACATCAGCTGGCCTGGAGGCCCCAGGGCTTCCCATGCCAGGGCTGAGCCAGTTGCACTTAGTGGCCAAGAGACAAGGACGTCTGCAAGCCAAGTGGGCTGACATGTGTTGTTTTGTTTTTGAGGCCGTCTGCACGTGGACTGGACTGACAGGAGTAGCGGCCAGTCAGATCACTCTGTTTATCACGTCTGGGAAAGGGGCTGAGGTCCCAGGAGAGGTGTCAGGGGTGGAACGTGGACCCCACCTCCCAGGGAGAGCTCTCAGCAGCCAGGTCTCCATCAAAGTCAGGGTTGGTCTCAGCCCTGAGGTTCTGAGGGGCTCAGCTTGTTCTGTGAGTCCTGGGGGATAGGCACCCAAGTCCCCAAGAAGGGACACAGCCACAGTGTGAGGGCCTTGAACCTCAGACTGTGGAAACTGCTCAGCTCCCGGCTCCAGAACCAAAAATGTCAATAGAATCACAGGTCACGGCAGCCAGCCCACTGCTGCCCAGTAGCACTAAGCCAGCTTCCGGCTCAGCCCTCGGCCACCCACAGCCTCCGGGTACCGCCAGCATCCTCGGCACGTCCACCCCAGTGAGACTGAGGGGCCTGGCCCTCAGGTCGCTGCACAGACACCACCCCCAACACCCAGCATCTGCATGTGAGGGGCCACTGAGACCCCAGGCCACAGAGAAGCAAACCGAGGCCGGAGAAGCCAAGTCGACAGGCAGGTGGGGTCCTAGTCTTTCAGCTCTCCTGCAAGCAGTGCCCTCCACTCTCTCCCAGGCCAGGTCACTGAGGGGCTCTGCCAGCCACGAGCCAGGCCAAGTCCCCAAACCCCTTCGGCACCAGCACACTGCTGGGCCTTGGGAAACAGGAGGTGCCCCTCCTGCCCTCAACAGGAGGCCCAAAGTCCCCATCCCCACCCAGCACTCTGCTCACAGGCAGCCCCAACTTCTAAACCCCATAGAGCAAGGGGACAAGCCTGGGAGCTGGTCCCAAAGCTCGCAAAGCCCCATGGGGAACTCTGAGGGAGGCTGCCTAGGGGAGGGAGGTAGCCCTCAGGGGACCAGTAGGTGCTCCCTACTCAGATCCCAGGGCTGCTCCCCAACCCCACCCAGCAGGAGAAGGACCCATGGTCCGTCTCCTGCCTCCAGGAGGTGGGGCCTGGGCTCAGACCCACACCAGCAGGCGAGGAGGGACATAAAGCCACTGGGTGACACGTCATGTGTAACGTCAGCGCCCCGAAACAAGGTAAGCCCCTCACGCCTCCAGAGCTCCACCAACAGGGCGGGAGGCCGCAGGGAGCAGGGGTGAGAGGGCGAACTGAAACTCCCGGGCTGGCCGGACCCAGACAGGCCTGTCCCCGCACGCCTCCGCCCCGCACCCCAGGCCCATGGCTCAGGGCGCGTCCCAGCAGGGACGCAGAAGCCTTCCAGAGCGCCCAGCCAGGGCTCGCCTGGGAAGGGGCGGGCTCCGTCCACAAAGGCAGGCCCCGGCCCAGCCAGGCCCACCCTACTGGCAGGAATGCAAGCCTGGGAGCTGGCCTCCGCCCCACCTGCTGGGCCAGCCTCTCCAGGCCGGCTGCGGGGAAGAGATAACACGGGGCAGGTCCCAGAGTCCCCAGGCACGTGGGCCCACTGGGTGGGCCAGGCCAGGCCAGAGGGGCAGGGCCGGGAGGGAGATGAGGGAGACGGAGGGAGGATGTAGAGGCTCTTACAGCAGGGAGCGGAACTGGAGGCTCTCAGGAGGACCCAGCAGAGGGCGGAGGGAGGGGCCGGAGATAAGTACCCGAAATAACCCCGGAGATCTAAACACACACTCCCCGTGACACCCAGGCCACCTGCTCCCTCACCTGCCCTCACCCCAACCACGGCCACCTCTGGCAACATCCCACGCATGCTCGGCTCCCGAATCACTCCCCTCCAGTGAGCTCTGGGGGCGCTCTGAGCACTCTTGTCACGCATGGCCCAGAGAGGCTAAGAGCCCTTTGCCAGGGCCACGCAGCCAGAAGGCGGAGCAGGGCCCGAGTGTCCTCCTGACGGCTGGCACCCTGCTCCCCAGGAAGGCCCCCAGCTCACCAAAGGGCCCGCTGAGCCCAGACAGGTGACAAGGACAGACAAGCTGGAGACAGAGGCAGCACTCATCCCCACTGAGTGTTCCCAGGAGGCTGCGCCAGGACTGGCAGAAAGGCCACCCAGGACCGTGCGGGCACAAGCGGCCGGCCGGCTGGGACAGGCAACCCGTTGCACTGCCCATCCCCCTTCCGGGCACACCCCTGGATCCAGGACCACCTCCCCCCGAAAGGAGGTCCTGTGGCATCAGTGACAACCCCTGCACAGGGCGCCACTCCCATGCCAACCCATCCCTGACATCTCCCCCAAGACTACCCTGCAGCCGTGCTGGCACCTCCCAGGCCTCAGAGAGCGCCCAGTGAGCAGGGGGCCAGGGGCTCTGCGGCCAAGCGGGACGGCAGGGGTCCTCTGCCCTCTGTCTCTGCACCCAGGTGCGTCACCCGGCAGAGACTGAGGGCGTCCCCTGCTGGGACCGAGCACCGGGGTCAGGGCCCGGGGGAGAGCGCAGCAGGGCTGGGGGCTGCACCCGCCTCGCCTCACTGCCAGGAACCCGGGCCTGCGAAAGCCCAGGAA